ACTGCAACATCGTGGGCTGGGCACTTTGCACACTCCAACCAAGCAAAAGTTGAACTTTCGAAAATGAATAGTACTTCTAACGACGCTCTTCCGCATACGTGTGTACAAATAGCTTTCCAGTCGGTCTCCCGGTACCCAACGATTGCAGCGGTCAAAGGAGCCTCTCCTACAGGCGCGATCTCTTAACGCGATCCTCTTCATCCACCTCCTCGCATTCAACCAATTCGTCATGACTCCGGCGACGAGGTGTTACTTGGAAATCCGGTTCGGCCAGCGATACCACATCCACTTCATCCATATCCCGCATCGCTTCTTCCACCTCATCGTCATCAAACTCATCTGAACTAGTATCAGAGACTGTATCAGAGACCGTATCGCCCTCTTCGTCCACTTCTCCCCGGCCTGGCCAACTAAACGTAAACACCGGTCGTTGGAAATTTACCTCCCCTGTTTGACCCGGCAGCCGCTTTCCACCCACGGTGCTCCTACCCACAACCATCATGAGATCTTCCTCTCCATCTCCTTCATCAGTAGTGTCGCTCCACTCACTTTCCTTCCCCTCATCTTCCGAGTCTAGATCCACGTCTGTGAAACCCGCGAAACGACCTTTGTTCATGTCTTCATCCGTTTGAGGAGTTTCATCTTCAGCCGCTGTCAATATTTTCAGCTCTTCTTCTTCGGCGACTCCAAACTCGTCGTATGCGGAGTTGTTCGCAAAGCTCGTATCGACCTTGATACTACCGTATGGACTTGCGTGTTTGCCTTTCTCGTAGGACTTAGAAGTGCGATTATAGCACAATGACCGTCGGGTGGACGGAGAGGGGAGGTCGTCCGGGAAGTATACGCCGATCATGGGAGTGGATGGTACAAAGGAAGAGGACCGACTTTGGGGTGAAGAAGATGGCGGTGGAGGTGAAGATGTGTACACGGTGGAACTGGCGGAAGTCTTAGATCGGGGAGAGGCAGTCGGAGAGTCCGCTCGGGCGGCTGCGCGGTCGGCAGGCGGCGAGTCTGAATGATCTCTGAGGTAATAGTCTGCGGTACTGTCGTCTGCCTCCTCTGTCCCATCGGAAGCCCCATTGGAGTACCGTGACGTTTCTGAATCCATCTCAGGAGCCTCGGGTGGAGAACATGGCAGTTCATCGCTGCTAACAGAGTCGTCTCGTAGTTTATTGCCCTCGCCGTGCTTTCTCAAATGCCTCGTCGGGACGAAGACATCACTCCACCCCTCCCCAATAAATGGACTCTGCGCCGCCAGTTCCAGCGCTTCAATACAACTATTCGCCTCCGTCACCGCCACCGGAATCGCAAGACCATCCCGTCTAGAGTCCTCCTCCCACGCCCTCTCTCCCATCGCGAAGTCCTCATACGTCCCAACCAAATTCGCCCACCTCTTTTTCTCCACAATCCACAACCCCTTCGCCGCAAGATATATCGCATACTCTTCAGGGTCAATAATATGGACCCCCGCTTCGTTTCGACCTGGCCTATAAGGTCCACCGACGATGCGCCAGACATGCGCGATGCGTTCGAGAGAAGCGAGACATTGTTTCATGATGCAGACTGGACAAATTTCGATTTCGACGCATGGGTTACCGGGGTGGATGGTGTGTTTGCAGACGCGCGCGACGAGGAGGTCCGATGGTCCTCTCTCTGCCTCTTTGTCGTCGACGTCCGTGAAGATGTGGGCGAGGTCTGTGTCGCGACCGTGGAAATGCTCTTGGACGCGCGGTGTGTTCATAAAGGCTTTGAAGACTGGCGGACTGGGTATACCGCCGATGCTTTCCTGCTGCACCGCATATACGGTCTTTTTCCATGCTTGCCAGGTCAGGTATAGCGACTGCTGTTCGGGATCGTCGATGTTGGCTTGCCAGTTGACAAAGTGTGGGTATAGATCTGGTCCGAAGATGAGAGCGCTGGCTCTTGTATCGGTGAGCGGGCGGGTTATCGCATTGGCGGAGTGAAGGGCGTTGGTGACGGTGGCGATCGGGATCGGCGCCATAATGATATGATATGTTTGTTTCGGATGTACGACATGTGAAGTGGGGAATTAAGTGCGTCGGTAAAGTTGTTCAGTTAGGCACGATCGATGTGAGTCAGGTAATAGGGCAGTCAGTGGTTCTTTCACTGAGTCGTTCCGAAGGTACGTGCAGAATGTACCTGCGTACTCTCACCTGGCGGTTGGATGCAATTAACGTTGCTCTTTTTGATACTACGTTTTGTATGAAGATTTGTAAAGTTTAGTAGAAGCTTTCCATGTGCAGGGCGTTGTTCTACCATGGTTGGTGATGCACCAAAATGTGTACCCACTCACAGCTGCCTCAAAGCAAATGTGTATCAGATGACAGCACATTACCGAACAAAAGAAATCGTAATACCGAATCCTTACGCTGGGTAACGATGCTTCACAGTATGGACAAGAACCACAAAATTTGAAAGATTGATTAAATTCTTTGCTCTGCTGAGATTGGAAAAAGTGTGGACCTGTGAAGCTAGGGGTAGATGTCCGTATGGCGGTATCGCAGTAGAACGAAAGAAGAAGACCTGTCCTCGAGATGGCCAGCCGATTAATGAACCTCCTGCGATGATAACAAAGAAGACGTGAAGAGACGTGAAGCCCGCCTGACTCTCGTGTGCCACCCTGAAAGCGAACGTAGACATGTCCTGCAATATCCAGTGCGTGTCTACCGTACCGCAACACCTGGTGGTCCCTCTCAAAGGAGGCAGCAACAAACCGACGTCCACGCCGCTACGCATATGACCTCGAAAATACCCTCATGCGCGGCATGGCGTTCCGGCGCAGGGGCAGAGGGTACGGCATGCCGGGAACATAGCGATCGATTATGACCCAGCGATCGGCTGGCACGTATCGATCGAGCTTCAGCCGTCTGCGTGAGCGTCCTCGTTCATCCACGACCCGGTTGATCTTCCCTTGTGCCAGCCAGATGGCTTCCTTTCGTTCCACCGTCAAGGTGATGTCGCGTGGGAGCCTTCGTAGAATCCATACGTGACGACCCTGGCCGTCCATAGCGGCGTCGATATCTCGCTGGAGGATGAAGAGTCGGTTGACGGAGTTTGGGTGGATTGTTTGGCCGGGGTAGGTGCATAGTCTGATCAGGTCGATGATGCTGTTTCGCTTCGGCGCGGCCCATGGCTGACGCGCGGGAGAGCTTGAGTACTGGTATGACGAGGATCCGGTTGAAGTGTCGTAGGCGAAGTTGCGCGGCGCGTCTTGGGAACCATCGATAGACTCGCTCTTGATGAAGACGAGGGCTTCTTCACGGGCTTCTTCGCGGGCCTTCCGGGCTTTGCGCTGCCTCTTGGCTGCTCTCTTGCTTGTCATCGTAGTCCGTTGCTTGGGTATTCTTACTTCTCTGGTCTGCTGCTGCTTGTCTTCTTCTAAGAACTGTTGTTGAAGTCTGGTTTCGAGTAGATGTGGGCGAGACACTGAGGTGAGTGGTGATGCGGTGAAAAGAGCAGGTGGTGAGTTGTTGATGCTGCTTTCCGATGCTACTTCCGCAGGAAGGCGCGCTCCTGAGGCATCCATCCCAACTGGTAATGGCAGTGTGTTGGCGTTCTCCTCTGGGTAGGTGCATTCTACTGCTTCAGCAGCACCAGCATCGTTCCTCGCGCGTTGAAGTCTTTCGTATTTTAGTTGCGCTTTCGTCCGCCTCCTCCTTGGTTTCTTGTCCTTTCCTCGACCACATGGCGCCGCATTTCCGCCTGCCTTCTTCTGTGCGGTAGGTGCACTTCGGGTGACTCTTGCAGCGATTGGTACTTTCTGCGCGGTAGTTGTACTTCGGGTGACTCTTGCAGCAATTGGTACTTTCTGTGCGGCAGTTGCACTTCGAGTGATTCTTGCAGCGAGTGGGATCTTTTCCGCCTTTGGCTTCGAGACGTGGCCATTCGGAGCTGTCTGTGGGGAAGTAGGCATCGCCTTCGTTTGACTTCGCGTGGGTTGCTCTCGCCGCAGCCAGTGTAGAATGTTGCCGTCCTTCATGTCGTTTTGGTAAAGTAGGTTGTTGAAGTGGGGCGTTTGAAAAATTGCCGTAAGTCACCCAAATTTTCTTATCGACAGTAAGTTCCTGTCGACTGAAATCCTTCTATCTCATCCAGTGTTTGAGGCGACGCGCTGTCCCTGGGGATACGCGTTGAGAGGTTCACGTGGTAGACACGCTAGCGAGTCAGGACGAGAAGGAACGAGGGGCACGAGGTGGCTGGGAAATGAGCAATTGAACAGATGTTCGATATGAAATCTAAAAGCGAGAATTCTTCTTTATGAATGTATGAACGAGATCTCCTCTCGGGCTCTGCGGACGCAGGCTTATCAATACATACGCTGAGCCGCGTTGGCGCATTGAAACCCCGCGCAGCTCATCGCGAGATATCGCTGTGAGCAACCCTGGAAACTACAAGCGTCTCCTCGTCGTTTCTTTTTCTCAGCTGAGCCCAAGGTTATCTCCACGCTCCTCGATCATCAGGTCCAGCTTCGATTGCGATTGAAATTGATGGCATTAGTCGTATGTTGTGTGTTCGTTCGGACTTCTTGCAACCTTGCTCAGGTGCCGTGGGTGCTGGTGAGGAGATGCGCGATGCCGTTTTCAGTTACGGCACGTTCGGTCCCACCCCTTGCTGCATCAAATCCCTATCAGCACCTTCTCTGTCTTTCGCGTTCGAGCCCGAGGGGTCTTTTCGCGAGGGAACTCTGGTTGTGTATATTGGCGGAGAGATATTCGGTAACAGTGGCTCCCACCGGCACCTCATACAAGGGAGAGACTAAACACCTGGAGCCTACGTTAACGTCAGGCCACCTGCTTTGCATGTTTTAATCATGAAGGCTATAGGGTGTTCAGTCTTTCCCTTGTATGAGGTGCCGGTGCAACGCATGCTTCGAGTTAATAGTGGACTGCTCAGGTGGTTCCTTCCAGGCTTGATCCCGTGCTTGCAGCAATAAAAGACGTCCCACAACAGACTTGCAACCCATCCGTGTCCATGTGCCATCATATCCCATGTTCCTCATCCCTCAACTTCCAACCCGACGTCTCACGATCACTCCACGCAAGCGAAATCCTGACCTTCAAACCCTCTTTCTCTGCAAGTACCCTGTTGACCTCTCTTAACATAGCTTTTGCGAAAAGCGCCGTCTCCAGAGTGTCCGCAGCGTGCAAGACCGGCAGTGTGAGTACACTCCAGCCAGCATCATTCCGTGAGGGACGAGCGTCGATACGCTGAGGAGATGAAGCAGGGTTCTTGATAGCAATTGCCCGCTCTCCATGTTTCATCTTTCTCATCTTGAAATTCGCTCTGTCCATCACTTTCTGCGCTATCCTGAGTGTTCTCCTTTGTTGCGCGCTGAGATAGATGGATTTGGGTACGTTGGTCGTAATATTCAAAGGTTCGCCGGTACCGACCATGGCTTTGTCTATTGCGTTTTGTAGGCCGCGCAGCCTATCAATCTCACTGGTTTCCAGATGGCGGTTGTGAGGCTCGCAAAATGCTCGGATGTTGGTCAGGGGTAATTCGCGAGTACGTCTCGTGCCTGTTGAGATGGTGGCCATGTGCGGTGAGCCTCCATCGTCGTCTCTCTTGATCTTCTTCCGCGCGTGCTGATCGTTTACTGCGGCTATGTAGTTGCAAACCTCGCCCACTCCCGGGTGGGCCTTACGCTTCCTGCCTACCGAGTCAAGGCTCATAATGTTGCGCGGGTAGTTCGGATTTGTGGAGTTTTGGTGTGTGAGAAACGACGTTGCACTTATCAGAGGGAATGTCGCTATTTGTTAGGAAATTCAGGCATTGTGTATGTATCTTGGGAGTCGTGAGTCACTCGTCGTTTATGGGTCATGGCAGTACCATGGGGTAGAACCAAATCTCGAGATTCTCGCACACAGACTGTGTGTCACCCACAAGAGGGAAGATGTACTAAAGGCAGCTTTTACGAATACATGCCATCACAGCCAAAAGAGGGGTTGTGTTATGTGCGGGCCTGAAGCATAGGGTACCACGGAAATGCAGCTCGAAGTGTGTAAGACCCTTTGTACCTAGGGCCAATGCCTGAGCGTACATTACTTCCACAACCAACAGATCTGTCCGCGCAAGCACGATGATGGTTTACATTCAGCGCGCTGCCCAACACAACATACAGGGCATAGCAATCGATTTGTCTCGTCCCAGCTAAACGGAACACGTATTACGTGGATGTGCAGCCTCAATCTTTGCTAACCAAGCATCCCTGCGTTCTTTCATCTCTGGGCTCAACCCCTGGTACCACTGCCTATACTCGCTGAACAGACGTTCCTGTTCCATGATTCTATGCCTTATTTTCTCGAGACCAAGCATCTTTCTTGGCTGGCCGCGATTTACTCCACTCTCGTGCACAAGGACTCTAGGCACGAAGATGAATTCGGTGGGGTGTTGCGGAGGCGGAGATGTCGCTGGCGTTGGACGATTTGCGGGCTGCATGTTCTGAGTTGGCGGACGGGGTTGAGTTGGCGCATGTATCTGAGACCGTTGCCCTCGAAGTCGTTGATTACGAGCTTGAACCTTAGCCCGCCGCTTCACAGGCGACATTTCCGCCTTGATCTCCACAGCTGAGACCTGACTTCCCCAGTTCTGTCTTCTCCACTGCATAACTGCCGTAAGCTTCTCCTGTGCTTCTGCAATCGCAGTCTCTTGTTCTGGTGTCAAGTTGAGCTCGCTTGCGCGAAGGCTCCTCGCAATGTTGATGCAAGGCCCAAAACCAGATAGTGCAGCGTCGACTCTTTTCTGTGTCTTGAATATCGTCGCTCTTTCTTTTCGAGTATGTTTTTTCCCAGGCGGGCCACATAGTTTGAAAAGCCAGATATCAGGGGTCGGTGGACGAGTGGCAAGATTTGGATATTGGTTGGAATTATTTTCGCCAGTTTGGTGGTGTTTCGTGGTGGGTATGCTGACGGGCGCGGTGTCGGTTCTGCACAACAACTCTGGAGATTCTTCTTTGATGTAAGGCATAGTCTCCGCATTATCCGTGTTTGCTCTTTGAACATCCTCTTGCCTTACTTCGGAATGAAGTTCGACTCTGCGCTCAACATCCCCGTCACCAACTCTTGTCCAACACCATCCCCCACCGGCCTCTGCTTGTAACTCCCCCATCTCCTCTGTCAACTCCTGCTTTGGCAATGTTCTGATACTGTCGCTCATGATGCGCTGCGTCTGATATGAGTGTTTGTGATGGTGCAGTTGCTGAAGTTCATAACTTGTTTACTACATGGCATGCGCGTTGCCATCGAGATAATCGTGATAAGCGCATCCGCTAGAAGAACCGTGCACCACTGCCCCTTCATCTCCTTCTGTTCAATGATTTAGGTGGAAACCCCGCAAGATACCTGCATACGCACAGAGAACCAGCAAGAGTGGAAAACACTTGTTCAAAAGATTACTATACTAACGATTATAGTAAGCATAAGGTAAAGTCGCTAAAGTGGAACAAATCGAGCGAAAATCGAGCGAAGGTTAGAAAGCCGAAGAAAGGTAAGATGCTCAATAGGATTACAAGAATTCGTATCCGTTCCTTCGCCCTAAAAGGCGGGTTTGCCTGCGCCTCCCAGTCGTATCTTCCCACACCGCCGCACCACCCCGTTAACGCCAAAGCATCGCTAAGCGCCAGAAGAAGAGGGGAAGAAGAAGATGTGAAGGGAGTTACCGAGGCGAGGAACGAATTGGATGGCGTCGCGACCTGACTCAAAGAAGATCGAGTGGAAGTCGAAGAGGTGAAGGTCGAAGTAAAAGGGTGGTTTCAGTGACCAGAGTCGCTCACGCGTCTCCTCCGCCCTCGACTACCGCCTTCAGGTCGCTGAGCAAGAACATCACGAAGTTGCGGATCGTCTTTATCTTTATCAGTGTGGTGTACGCGTACATGTCTACAAAATTTGTTAGCTCTGCACTGCTCAGAATTTCCACCGTGAGTGCGTACCTCTGCAGGTTATCCGGTCTTGGATACTTGTGTTCGCGATCCGGACAAAACGGGCATACGTAGCCAGGCGACTGATGCACAAGCCCGTGCCGTATCATCTCGTTCTTTCGTTTGAAGCCTTTGCCACCCTCGCCTCGAGGGCAATCTTTGACAGGGCAGTAGTGCGGGCGATTTGAGGAATGAACGTTGGTGTGTGAACTGAAGAGGTCAGCATGTCCGACCCTACGATACTGGGGATACTCAAGTCTGGACTCACTTAAGAAGGTACTGCGTCTGGAAAGGAAGAGCGGTGCAGCCTGGATAATCGCACTTGAAGGATCCAACGATATGCTGAGTCACATTTTGCTGTAGACCAGAGCCAAGTGGAGGTGGCAGGACCCTCGACGCAAGCGCGCCATCTAGACTCATATGTCGAGGTCTTTGCTCAATAGGCGTTTGCTGTGTACCAGGGCTGATACCCTCTGAGCTCTGGTAGCTGTCGCTCGTCGATGCAGAGTGCAATGTCGCTGTGTAAGGACTGTTGTCTGACGCGGCGTGCGAAGGTCTCCGAGCATCCGTGCCGAATGCGCCTCCTCCTGAGGTGCGGAGGAACAGATCGACACGATGTGGTAAATCGTGGGCACTCATTGGCGATGACGCACTTAGCGAAGGGAACGGCGTGGCTGGAGAATGAGAACTCATGGACAGTTGGCGAACCATGGATGTTGGTGACGCTCCTACTGAGGAGACCGATTGTCGATGGGGGAAGCTGATACTGTTTGCTCTCGTTGCTTCGTGGTCATTTGTTGCTGATCTCGCGATATCATCGATGTGACGGAACGAAGGTAGCTGCTGGCTAGGCGAAGTAGCTGCTCCATCACGCGCAGGAGATGGGGCTTGTAACGCAGGCAGAGTGTCTGCTGGAAGTCCTCCTCTTTGCGGAATTGTTAGACCGAGAGATGGTGCTGGATCATTGCCTTGGGGATGGCCATTGGGCAAGCCTCGAGGTGGCTGGCTTGGTGGGTACAACGATGCGTTCGACAAGGCGGACGATATAGACAGTGTTCGATCGATCCCATTTGAACTGGGATGCACGCCGTTTGGTGCTACATGAACTGCTGATGCTTGAGATGTGCGCCTATCTGCTGCAAATCCGAAAGGCCTAGTAGTTTCGTCTTCGATCACCGAGTCTCTGTGGGTAGCTGTCGCTTTTGAATCAGGTGCTGAGCTAAGCACTTCCTGCAGAGTAGGTGCTGAGTTGGCAGGACGAGCATTTGGTGGCACTGGCTGGCCATTGTTGAAGACGGACGGTGCCGTTGCCGTGCCGGGAGACTCGGCATCAGGCATGTCGTCATCCTCAGAGCAGTGCGAATCAGAGTCGGAGTTCAAGGCCTGCTCGCTTGCTTTTTGTGCAATATCTGGCCGGTTTGGGTCCATCTCACGAATGAGCACCCAGTCCCCTTGGGTGGGGCGAGTTCGGGGCTTATGTTTGTTAGGCCTTTTCCGATTTCGAGATTGAGGAGGACTGACACTCTGTCGGTTGGGTAGGTGACGGATGACTGGTGTCACGTGTGGCTGCGGCGTCGGAGATGGTGTTGCCTTTACAACACGAGCTTCCAAGAGTGGTGATTTGGAGAAATGGTCGTCGTCCTGGTAGTATTCCACTGGTTCCACGGATTGGATGGCGTCGAGCACCTGCATCTGGACAGCAGATTCCGCGGTATAGGAAGATGGTTGTTAATTAGGTGGAATGAACTGGCGATTATCCCAACGACCGTTCAGCAAAGGCTCCCAGGGATAGGCCCAGGCGGCGGTGAAGAGAGCGGGTGGCACAGCAAGACCAGTCTTGAATCGCTGTCTGGAGGAGAGTCAGCATGACCATGGGCTGCATTCTTCTCGCAACGATGAAGGCGGAAAGTGCTGGGGCTGCGTGTCTGTGGGATGGAGACAGAAATGAGAAAAGCTGCGGTGCCGTCGGATGCGAGTTGGGCTAGAGGCGCTCGGGTCGAGCGACTGGGGCAGAGCAGGGGTGAGAGGGTGGAAAAGACGGGTTGTTGGTCATCGGGGTGGGAATGCAGCGAGCAGAAGCATGAATCGCGAATTATATGTGGAGATATGATGCAAAGTAGCGACGCCAACGGTGAAGCGGCTCTGCGCGGTGGAAAACATACCCGAGGGTGCCAGTGCGACGGCTCTTTTTCAGCCTCAAGGCGGTGTCGAAGGGGCCTGCCGATCGCAAACATCAACTCGCGCAGGCGCAGATGGGACGGGCGTGCGGTCACGAATAGCATAGAGGTGGGTAGCAGTGGGCGAGCCTCGTCTGCCCTTACAGCATCGAGGAGGAGGATGGACGGCTGGCCTTGGAGGGACTGCGGCGGATGAGGAGGCTGACTTGCGGGGGCTTGTTGGCTGGACGGCCTTGATGCGGACGCTGGAACAGGCGGAAGTCGGGGTGCTAGGTCAGCGTGCGGGAGACAGCACGGGGTGGCAGGAATTGGGCAGCGAAGATGAGGGTTGTGTGTGCAAGTCAATAGATCCAGCCAAAGTCACTGTGCTGCCGTCGCGCCAGTCGCCGTCGCCCTCCCCCAAGCTCCTGCGAGGCGCAGCCCCAGCTTACCTACAGCGCGCGAGGCTCTAATCCAATCCAGTTTTTATGAGGCTCCCACCGAAGTTTGCCATCCCCGCACCGAGGGCCGCTAGCTGCTCTGGGACCCCACAGGCCTCCAGGGCTCCAGAGCTACTCCACGGGGACCGAGCCCAGCCCCGCCTCTTTGCACGCCCAAGAACGAGAAGCCTCCATCGGCCCTATTGCGAACCTGCAGCTGCCCTAACACGAACTCAATAGCCTCCCGACGTCTCTGCTAATTCTTCCGCTGCGTGGCATTTGTCAGTTGGATACTCGCGGCACGACGTGCGTGCGGCGTGGTGCGTTGCCCTGCTGCGGCTTCACCTTCGCTTGCCCGGCCGCACTTGGATGGACCTCGACGCTTAGATTAACTGCCATGGGTAATCCTCCTGTTCTATCGACTACATGTGCATGCGTGGCTAACGACAGCATGCACTGCATCCCTCTTCCCCTCTCCACCCGCTGTCAAATGCCACCGACCGCCTATCGTACAGTCTTATGCTGCATGCGCTCTTGTCTACTACTGTGCCGCTGAGAAATGCTCTAACAGAAATGTGACAGACACGCCCACCCCCACAGTCACTGGCAACTGGCGAGTAAAAACATGCTCCTCGGTAGATCAACGCCCAAAAACAAATCGTGGCTGATAAAGCTGTTGTTGGCGCCAGAAACGGTATCCCACCCATAAATCGTCCAATCCCGTTTTATCCTCGCCCGCAATAACGCACATCGGCTAAGCACGTGCATGCCGCCATCACGCTTCCGGCTTCTTGCCAAATCCAGGGATTCCACTAAACCTGGTGCCAGCGGGGAGCTTGGGTCGACCAAAGTTCTCGTCGAGATCGAGAATCACCTTGAGCGCGTTGCGGCTGCGCAGGTACGGCAGCGGTGCCGTCGCCTCTTCAAGGCCGACGGATGGCTCCAAGCTTGCCGAATCGTGGCTAGAGCCCGGCATCGGGAGAGCTGCGGACATGTCAGTGGCCCATTGGCGCATCACATTGCGGTGCAAGACTTACCTCGCTGTAGAACCTCATAGCCAGCCAGTGTGAAACCGAATTGTGGTGACGAGCGCATGATACGGGCGGGACCACCCTTGAAGAAGGCCTTGAAGCCTTCCTCCTTCCAGATGGTCGACGCTGCGTGGCGCAGGCCAGTGTATGCAACTTCGCCCTTGCGCGCCTCTACTTGTAACCTAGTCTTGATCACGTCGCACGGTGTGGTCAGGTACGCTGCAGGCATACCCGCGATGGCACCAGCGCTCAGCATTTGCAGGACACCGAGCGACTTTTGCGGGCTCTCGCCGAAGACGTCTCTCTTCAGATGGCTGTAGGTGGGGAAGTAGATGGCAGAAAAGGGGACTGTGCAGGCGGTCAGCGATATCCGGAGGGTGTGAGAGAGCAGAACATACCGTCACGCAGGAGACATGCGCTAGCTCCCTTGTAGAGACCGACGAGACCCAAGTTGCGGACGATCCACATGGCAGACCGCCTGGGAACACCCTCGACGTTCTTGGACAGTTCACCCTGAATTTGTAACCGAATCTTGACAATCTCGAGAGGGTTTGTGAAAACCTATAATAGTGTGTTAGTACTTGCTGCCAATAGAGGAAGTGCAAGTAGGTAGTAACTCACAACTTGGCAAGCACCCGCAGTTCCACCCGCCAACATCTCGTGGGGGAACTTGATTTGGCCTGTTGACTTGTCGGTCATCTTGCCACGAACAAGATCGTTGACCGTGAGCTTGATAGCCTTCTCGGGCGCAACACCAACAAGCTGGGGCAGGACTCCAGAGTAGAGACCCTTGAATCCCTCGTTCTTGATGACCTTCTTTGCGCAGTCGAGCGAGTTTTTGTACAGGACGTGCCCGACGCCTGAGCTCCTCTGGTTCTGCATTCTTGTCTTGACCAGATCGATGGGGTAGACCATGAAGGCACCGAACGCACCAGCCAACGAACCGAGGGCGAAGTGGTGGACCGACTCTAGGATGTCGTGCCATAACGATTTTGTGGTCGCAAAGACCTTTTGCCCAGACTCGGAGATACCCTGAGCGGCCAACGATCCTGCCCTGTGCCAGGACGGGTCGAGCACGCGGGCAAAGTCTCGCAGACCAAGTCGTCCAGACGCCTCGTCGAGACCGGCGAAGTGGAAGAGAATGTCTGCCTCCATGGGTGTGTAGAGGTTGAAGCGACTTATCCGGGCGGCCTCGTTGAGGAAATCTGTGCGGGTGATCTTGCCGTCGGAGCTCTTCTGTGTGGCATTGCGGATGATAAGCTCTATCATGTCCATCTGCTGGATGACGTTCTGGAAGGCGCGCACGTTGGCGTAGGAGATCTTGCTGCCAACCGAGATATTGCAGAGGGTGGGCAGGTTCTCGAGGAGGTAGTCGGAAAGCTTGTGGCTCGCAGTCTCGCGTATTATGCGCTGGAAATGCTCCGGCTCGATGAAGCCGTCCTTGTTCTTGTCAAAAAAGGTGAAGCCCTGACGTACCCGCTCGCCCTGCAGCCCTCGCAGCAGCTGGGCGAACTGGGGGTAGGTCATCGTGTGCCTGTGCTTCTTGGAACCAATGTACAGCGAGGCCCAGCCGCCCTCCCAGTCGAAGGGCAGGCTGTCCTCGGTCTTGTGCGCCTTCCATGTCTCGTAGAAGTCATCAAAGTTGATGTAGCCGGTGCGCTGCTTGTCGAAGAAGCGGAAGACGACCTCGTACTCGGCGTCGGGTTTGGCGAGCAGGTTCTGGAAGACGGACCAGTCGTGCATGCTGACCTTGCCCTTCTGGTCGCGGTCGGCGACCTGGAAGAGGATGCCATACTGGAACCGCTTGATCTTGTGCTGGAGGCGGGCACGTCATTAGCTTGCTTGACTCGACACATTGCAGACAGCCCTGCTTACGAAGTCCTCGCCCTCGGGCGCGACAGCTGTGATGAACTGGTCCTGGTCGAGGTAGTAGTCGCCTGACTCGTCCTTCTGGGCGTGCTTCATAAAGGCGGCGCGCGTGAGCTGCGACAGCTGGGGCTCGTCGGTGGTGCCCAGCAGCACCTCGCGTACTTCTTCCGTGACGGTCGCCATAGTGAGAGGATGACAGCAGCCCGGGAAGCAAACGGTGGTTGCAATTGACCGGGTTGGGGCCAGGTGTTAGTAAGGAAGGGTGTAGCGACGCGGATGGGGTGAGTCGGCCTCTACGCCGTCGACGACAGCTCGCGGCTGGCAGCGAGCTCGGAGGTAAGCTAATTTTTAATTGCGAGCCATTGGCGGGGGTCGGAGAAAGCGTGGGGAAGGCACGGCTGCGAACAAACACCCCGAGCGCAGCTACTCACGGTCTAAGGGAATCTTGAGTTTAATGAATTGACTCCTGATTCTGAAAACCTGCTTGCTTCCATTCACCCTGTGGCTTACTCTGCGCAGAGGCTCTTACCGCTGTTTCCGTGTTGTCTGCTTCCCGAGCTCGCCTCATCACTGCAGCCCCTGTCAGATTCTATATAGAGAACCTTGGAACACTCTAGAAATGAGCCTCAGTCGCGTACCGTTGCGCACCGATCCATGAACCGCGCTCCGGGAATAGTTAATCAACGCGGCGCATGGACATCGTCGGAATCGCTGCAGCTGCCGGTCCCCATGAGGCTCTGTGTCGCTGGCTATGGCCCTTTACCCCGGATCGGTGCGCTGTCAAGCTTTAGCGTTACCATCGCCCAGGCACACGCGACCTTAAGACCAGTTCTTATGGTACCTGAAGCACCGGCGCAGGGCGGCTGTCATCTATCTGCAGATCAGGCGCAAGTCTTACCATGGCTATCCAGACGCTTTCTCCTGCTGTGCGA